GACAATAGTGTAGTAAAGGCCTGGGGTGGGGGCAGGTGCTGGGTGGAAGGGGTCAATGGGAAAAAACAAAAACAAAGGGGGACATCTGTAATACTTTCAACAATAAAGATACTTTATAAATAAATAAATAAACTCACTTAGCGAAATCCCCCACCATCTCCAACCTTTTGGTCCAACCATAAAATGCAATGTAGTTAGAGAACCATTTACCTACTATTGAAATAACAAAAGTGCTATTCCTCTGTGATGACTATAGGGCATGATTGCCAGACAGCTTGATATGCTTCCAGTCAATACCTGGCTATTGACTGCCCAATGGGAGAAGCACTATATCAGGCTTAAGAGAGAAAAAAAAATTGACATCCTCTTGCCAAGCTGAGAAGTGAGCTAAAGGCATTATCAGGGTGTCAGAGAGACTGCACTATGAAAGGGATTAGCAAAGGCTGAGAAATGGTGACTGTCATCAGAAAGAACTAGTGAGAACATCAAGGAAAGTCCCACTCAACAGGAGACACAAGGATAATAGTAAATACTTGTATCATGTATTGAATTCACTCACTGTGAGACTAATAATCAAATGCATTGTTACTGACACCAGATGTGTTTTAAGAAGTACTTGCTGAATGATAAAATAAGATTATGTGGAAACAATCTTATTCCTATTATACAAGTCATCAAAAAAACAAAACAAAACTTTGCTTTATCTGGAACACACCATGACAGTCAAAAATAATTTCCACTTCAATACGCAAATGCTTTAGTAAAAGTACATTTCAAACAGAGGAGGTAAAACAAGATGCCAGAAAATATTAATGAGAGTATAAACTATAGTAAGGTTTTAAGAAAGTAAATTGGTAATATGAATCAAGATCCTTAAAACTATTCATAATCTTTGACTCAATAATGCCATTTCTAAGACTAGTTCAAGAAAACAGTAAGACATGTGGGGTTAAAAAATAAGCACAAAGTTCTCCCTGGAAATGTTGAATACAATAACATATATTTGGAAAAAACACAGGGCCCCTCCCCTCAAAAGGCCAGAATATTAAAGTAATTAAATAAAAACAAAAGTCTCATTAAGTAGACTATTTATGATGCAGTCATTAAAGTGGTACTTATAGATATTTTCAAATAACATGTAAAAAACTGCTCATAAGAGAAAGTGTACTCAGATTCCCTTCCAGAAAAGTGCTTTATAGGGATCCAATATGGGCTTCAGGAATGAATAAAGCTCTTCATTTTTCCTGTCTTGAGCCAGGCAAACATCAGCATCATCCAAAAACATTGCATATATATTCCCACCACCAGGTCCTGGCTCTTTCCAGTCTCTCCAGTTCTAATTTTAGCAGTTCTTCAAGTCCTAATGCTTCTTACTTACTTCTGTGATGATTTCACAATTATCCTAGAACACAAATACTTCCTCATCACTGTCTTCTAGGATTGCATTGTCAGTCAGGGTATCACAATATCATAGTGTGTCTATAACTATATGAAGAATATCATGAATGCCCTATCAATAAGTTCATGTACAGTGGTTTGCAAATATCTTGTGTGTTGGAGAAAGGAAATCAGATATAAGGCCTAAGGATCTGACATCTTCCACCATACTTACTCCTTTCAAGTCCCAGCTCCAGCACTTACTAGCTATGTGATCTAGAGAAAGTTATGTATCCTTTCTGGGCCTCAATGTGCTCATCTATAAAATAAATCTTCTATAATAATTAAAGTGTAATATGGAAATAGATCAAATAGCCAAACAGCAAAACAACCATCTGGATGACCACACTATGACACCTACTGGTGCCGGGGCAGCCAAGGCGGGTGCGATGCGGTTGGTCGGGGGCCTGACCATCACCCATGATCACCCTGAATAGGGAGTCCCAGGCCACTGGCCAGTGGGACTATCAATCAATTGGAGGGCTCCATGATCACCCCAAAGAAGGAGGCACAAGCTACCCTATGGTGGTGCTGTGGTGGGTAGGTGGGGCGTCCTTCTACAGGGGTGATCCATCATGAAGCCCCCGCTGGGTGGACAGAGCCTACCTCTTTGGGGTGATTGATCATGGTGCTCCTGGACTGTGAAAGGGCTTGGATACTTCTCTACCACTGAGTGCACAAATTTTGTGCACTGGGCCTCTAGTATGGTAATAATGCCATCTCAGTTTATCACGTTGTAGACCAATCTGTGCATTATGCTCCCATAATAAAATAAAATAAAAATCATTCTTTCTATCTTAACTTGGATTTGTAATAAGGTGGACATGATATATTATGACCAAGTCATACCCTGAGTACTTAGAAGTTTGGCTTCAAGTACACACTTCTAAACTTGCACACTGTATAAAGCCAATAACCATGGTAACTGTCTCTGGTGGTCTGATGGCCATGAACATTGGTTGGTTTTCCAGGGCTTGTGTTGAATGGCTAAAATTATTTTACCTTTCATTACTATTCTAGAGAATATGATACAACTTAGATAAGAAAATTTTTAACCAAAAACAGCTGACAGTCCTGATATAGTAGTGTTCAATGGAAGCCCACGGGAAACAATGATCTCATTCTTTCCTTATATGGGGAAGCTGCCACAGATTGGATAAGAATTGCCCACATATTCATCATCATTTTCTTACAAAGGTGGTTTTGAACAAGGTGCATTTGTAAAGTAACCTAACGTGCATACCCAAGTTTTCAACTGTCATCAGATAATGGGGAAAGAATATTGAAATGGAATCGTGATATATCAAGTTTCCACAGCAATCTAATGTGTCTAGACTCAGAATTCTCATTTTGTCATTTCTCAGAGAGTCCATTGGACACTTCTTCACCTCACCCAGATGCAGCACAAGAGCTAAAAAAGTTTATCCTATCTGTTTTCAGTCAGCCCCATTGGTTCACATTTACTGGAACAAACCAATAATGAAAAAAAATTAAACTAACCCTGAAGAGCTTAAAAGGACAAAATACTAAGAGAACACTCAAGAAATTATCAATTTTAAAATTTCTGAAGACCTTATATTTACTTTTCTGATTGTAAATGATTGCTTTAAGAAAATGTGCCTAACATACCAAGAACATTGTCATTTCCACAAGAGCAGAATATTGAACTTCCTTGTTTTGTTTTCATGAGGTGTCCTAGGTGATGTTTTCTTCCCTTTGGCAGCTTGTATCTCTAATGCCCCACATGTGACTCACATGCTTGCTAAAAGCATGAAGGCAAATTTGATGCACTTAGTTTGCCAAGTGATTCAAAACAATGGTTATTACCCAATTAGAGGTGGTGGGTGGCAGGGGTTTGTTAGAGGGAGGACAAATTCTTGAATTGCACAGGCATCCAAAGTGTGCTTGTCCAACCTCAGAGTCACACAAATGCTCCTTTTTTGTCCTGGCAGGGTCTCCAGAAGGAAACATGGGGTTTTTAGTGTTGCAGCCCACAGTGTAAGCACTGAGCAATTTCACAGGAAGGAGAATGGAAAGGTTTTAAATAAATGATATTGATAAGCTTAGTCTGCTGATTGTTCAGCTCATCAGCTTTACAGTGTTCCATCAATTTCATTTTCTTAAGCTAAAAAATTCTATTTTTAAGCTGGTGGATGGAGAATATTAAAGTAGAATAGCATTCATAGGATGAACTCCTTAAAAGATTGTTAAATTACTTTAGAAAAAGTGAATAGAATAAACATTAAAATTAATAGAAATGCCGAAACTGGTTTGGCTCAGTGGATAGAGCATCGGTTTGTGGACTGAAAGGCCCCAGGTTCGATTCCGGTCAAGGGCATGTACCTGGGTTCGGGCACATCCCCAATAGGAGATGTGCAGGAGGCAGCTGATTGATGTTTCTCTCTCATCGATGTTTCTAACTCTCTATCTCTCTCCCTTCCTCTGTGTAAAAACTCAATAAAATATATTAAAAAAAAACTGATGGAAATGATGGCATGAATTTTTGTCAAAAATTAGGCAGCTTGAACCTGCGTCTTTATCAGGGTTGGAACTGTACTGATGCTACACCAGACTCAACTCTACCATGGCACAGGAACTCTGGACACCGGCCCTGCTTTTCAGCTCTACTGAACCCTCAGCTGCATATTTTCCAGGACCGGCTTAAAGACAATAGGACACTGGAAAAAGAGGATTATAATTCCATGCAAATAAAAACCACTTGTTCTCCTGTGCCAGTCTTAGAAATGTACTTTTCTCCCACTAGTGATGGAGAAATTCCACCCACCCAATCCTCCAGCAAAAAAACTGCTTGCAGATTCAGTTTCCTTTTCCATTTTTTCCTAACATAGTCCCACCACAAGTTCAGTTCAAGCTTTCTATTTGAAGCCTCCCAAACACTGACATATGGTCATCATACTTATCACCAATATGTTGGTTCTGCTGTGTCAGATCTCATGATAAGGTGGTGTTTCCTTCCCTCTTAAATTTAGGTGTGCCCATATGAATGTGAATAGAAGTTCTGTTATCCACTTACAGGTAGATTTAAAAAACTGGCATATGTTTCCCTGTGTTTCCTTCATGCCATGACAAAGTTCCAGAGAGGGAGCCTCTGTCAGCATCCCAGAATGCAACAATGTGAGCAAGAGCCCTCTGCCCATGTGTGGTGAGCATATCACACAGGGATGGCACAACTGCTGGCCACTTAGGCCACTGAGATGTTGGGTTGTTTATCACAGTACAACTCAGCCCACAAAGACAACACAGTTGACTTAATACCTCACCCCTATGCACCTCTATGCACCTGTGGCCTCTTGTCTTGCCTGTACCACAACATTTCCCATTCCTGTCTGTCTTCCTCATAGGCCATACATTCCATGAGGATATGGCTCATATCCATGTATCCTCCATGCCCACCCCAATGTTTGGCATATTGTATTATCTCAAGAAAAGCATGTTGAATGAATGAATAACAAGTGCCTTCCCCATGCTGACTACATCATGAAGGTAATCTGGTGTTCCTGGAGTTTTTCCCATTCTATTGTGGAAACCACGAATCTACTCACGGTGATGGCAGGTGGGGCCAATGTAGCCCGTGTCACTGCAGTTACAATAGAAGGTGGTCCAGGACTGGGAACAGCTTCCTCCATGTTCACAGTAGTTTGGCAAACACCTAGTAGGAGATAAAGCAGAGCAACCCAATCAGTAGGAATAAAGAGAAAAATAAATATCGACCTGCATGAATTAATAGAGTAAATTGGTCAGCTATACTTCTCTACCTAACTAGTCTTCAATCCATCAAAATAAAAACTGTGATTTACCATAAGAAATGGATGGAATTATTGGGCAATAAAAGCTTTGAGTTGATTTAGGCAATTAAGTTAAGGATTTCAACACTGGGACAAAATCTCATTGATTTGAAGTTACTATAAAATAGTCAGAATCTGTAAGGCTTTTCATTTTCCACAGAACAAAATGTGCAAAGTTTGTAATTTCACATGTTGGAAAGGTTTTGCATTTTTAAAGAAAAGGGGAGATGTGCAGATAATTGTGGTCACTGACCCCACATTTCTCTTTTGGGGGTTAGTCAGGAATCTATTTTAAACCACTATTTTTAAAAAGCAACATGACATTTTAAAAGATGTACCTTCTCATTAAACATGCAAAAAATTATATCATTGTTTAAAGTGCCAATATCACCCTTACAATAAGGCTCTTACTAGGTTATACTGAAAATAGTGTAACTATTCTAAAAATTTTTTTCACCATACATGTTAAAAATTCTCTGAAACATTCACATAATTTGACCCAGCAATCACACTTAAATAGCTCTATCTTTAGGATATATTTTTAAATATGGAAATTATGCATGCTACTTATCATTATTCACAATGATGTCATGATGAATCAAGTTAAGTGTTCAAGATTAGAAAATTTCTTAGGAAAGTTGTAGCACATAAAATTAATGTGCTATCATAAAAGCTGCTACAAATGATGTTAGCAAATGGGATAATAATGGACTGGGACTGGATTAAGTGGAAATTCAAGCTGTAAAGCACGGCCACAACAAAATAAGAAAAACACTTTGTGTTGCAAAAATGATAGGAAAACAAAGGTTAAGTGTCCCTTGGTCTAATGGGAGTGAAGACAATGTTTTATTTTATTTTTTTCTGAACAGAGATCTTGGACTTTAAGGTCACACATTCCTGAGTTTGATCCCAGCTCCAGACATTTGCTACACAGTGCCTTTCAATAATTCTCTTCACCTTTTATACATATGAATTAAAATCTTGACACTGCAGGTCCTGTTATTACTAAGAGATAAGCTGGCAAGTGCATCATATTTGTAATGAATCAAATTAAGAGTAAAAACAATGATAAATACGGAAATCTTGAAAACCATATTTACAGTTAAAAAACATCCCTGGACTTAAAAGGGAGAGGGTGGGAGCAATGAAGTAACAGAAGTGGTCTAATGCAATAAAAGCATTTATTGTGTAACCACTGAGCGTGTGATTACCTTAAATGCCCTGTATAGGTAAGGAACCCTCTAGCAGTGATTGTTTCAAAGCCCAGAAACTAATATCCCTGCATATGTTCAGACGCATTATTAGAAAAATTCTGCTCAGCACAGCAAACACTCAATTGTGCTGACAGGGCTTATGTATGGGAAGAGCTTATTGGTAACCCCTTGGTACCCAGCTATGGCTTAAAGAACAGGGGGAAAAATAGGGTCCAGTAATTTTGCTATGGAATATGTCCACAAATCCAAACAATGAGTGAATAAAAAAACCAAAAAAGTGATCCCTTTCCTGCACCAAATGTTACCCTTCTTCTTGATTTTTACTTCCAGCTCCAGGTCTTGGTGGAAAATAAAAGAAACACGCTTGCCACTGAGATAAACCAGAGTCCTTACCTCCCACGAACCTTGTGCTGTGGCAAGTTACATAAGCAAGGGGCTCTGCCTCTGGGTGTGCCCTGATGGAGTGCCTGGCAGGTAGCCTATAGATGCCCACCGGCAACATACCTTTTCTCTTGCACCCTATACTTCCCTGTTCCTAAATATTGCTTCTTTTGCAGTTTTTATTTCTCCATAGTTTCTCCTCTGAAGCTGTCAAATTTGACATGTCCTCTCTATACCCTGTCTCACCCCATTCCCCCTCACTCCTCCACCCCAAACACACACACACAGTGTCACACACACACACACACACACACACACACACACACGCAGATTTAAAGAAGGGAAGCTGAGCAAAGCCAGGCCAGTAGGTTCTTATCCTACAACTCAAGGCCTGGTGCATGAAATCATGCACCAGTTGGGTCCCTAGGACTGGCCAGCGATCAGGGCAGATCTGTGGGTTGATCAGTGGGGTCTTTGGGAGCCCGCAGTTGGCACCTGCCTTGGCCGGGCCTGGCACTGCCCGCTCTCCGGCCTCACCCACACTGCTGCCATGGCTGCCTCCCTCTGCTAGGTGGCTAGTGGGAGATTGAGGGGGCCCCTGCTGGTACCTGCCTGGTGGTCAGTGCATGTCACAGCGACCGGGTGTTCTTCAGGTCGTTCCACCGTTCGTTCAATTTGCATATTAAGCTTTTTTTATATAGGATTCTTTTGGTTTTGGCATAAAAAAAGTTCAGATCAGCCTCTTTTTGGTGGCTGCAACTATGAAATGGAAAACTCAGAAGTTCTCAGTAGCAATGTTTCACCTATGAGAAGATAGCTTTTCTTCAGTGAGAGATTGAGAAAGAGAGAGAGAGAGGGAGGGAGAGAGAGAGGGAGGGAGAGAGAGAGGGAGGGAGAGAGAGAGGGAGAGAGAGAGAGAGAGAGAGAGAGAGAGAGAGAGAGAGAGAGAGAGAGAGAGAACAGGGCACCCCTGAACATTTTGAGGGTTGGCTGTTTCATCTATATTAGGTTCTGTGAGATTCCCCAAGATCTTTTCAGGAAAACCCCATTTCATGCAGGCCAGCTCAAGTTGGAATTCTGTTATTTTATTCTAACCGGGATATATATATATATATATATATATATATATATATATATATATATATATATATAATGACCCTCTTAGAATAAAATGGGGTCTAATATATATATATGGAGGCCTGGTGCATGGATTCACGCACTGGTGGGGTCCCTCAGCCTGGCCTGCACCGTTTTGCAATCCGGGACCCCTCGGGGAATGTCATGCCAAGGGACCCCACCAGGGCATGAATCTGTGCACTGGGCCTCTAATATGCATACAAGATCTTTGGCTATCTCTTCCTGCCTTCCCCCCTCACCTCTTCCCTCTGAGATTCATCAGTCTGTTCCATGTTTCCATGCCTGTACATTGAGCATCTGCCTTCTGGTGGTCAGTGTGCATCACAGCTACCAGAAGGACAGTTGAATGGTCAAACAGTTGCTTAGGCTTTTATTTATATAAACTAGTGGGCCGGTGCATGAAATTCGTCCATGGGGGGTGTTCCTCAGCCTGGCCTGCACTCTCTCCAATCTGAGACCCCCTCAGGGGATGTCTGACTGCCAGTTTAAGATTGATCCCACAACCGGCAGTCAGACATCCTTCTCGCAATCCGGGAATGCTGGCTCACCTGCCTGCCTGCCTGATTTCCCCTAACCACTCTGCCTGCTGGCCTGTTTGCCCCCAACTGCTATCCCCCACCAGCCTGCTTGTCCCCAACTGCCCCCCCCCAAAAAACCAGCCTGATCACCTTCAACTGCCTCTCCTGCTGGCCTCCTCTCCACCACCTGCCCTCCCTGCCAGCCGGCTAGTCCCCAACTGTCCTCCTGCAGGCCTACTCACCCCCAACTGCCCCTCCCCGCCAGCCTGATCCCCCCCCAACTGACTTCCACTGATGGCCTGTTCACCCCCAATACCACCCCCCCCCAGCAGCCTGATCACCCACAACTGCCCTCCCCTCTTGGCCCCTAACCACCTCTACCTTGGCCCTGCCACCATGGCTTTGTCCAGAAGAATGTCCGGAGATCTTCTGGAAGGTCTCCCAGTCTAATTAGCATATTACCCTTTTATTAGTATAGATAGAGACCTGGTGTATGGGTGGGGGCTTGCTGGTTTGCCCTGAAGGGTGTCCCAGATCAGGTTGGGGGCTCCCTTGGTGGGGGCAGGGTGGCCTGGGCAAGGGGCCTGTGGTGGTTTTCAAGTGAGCCACACCCCCACGGGGTGAGGGTTTTTGCTGGGTGAGGGGCTGAGGGCTGTTTTCAAGCTGGCCACACCCCCTTCAAGATGGGGGTCCCCACTGGGGTGCCTGGCTAGCCTGGGTCAGGGGATGATGCTATTTGCAGGCTGACCATACCCCTCAGCAGTGACCCCACCCCATGGGGGTGTGGCCAGCCTGGGTAAGGGGCTGAGGGCCATTTTCAGGCTGGCTATGCCCCCCAGCAGGGACCCTCACCCTGTTGGTGGTGTGGCCAGCCTGGGTGAGGGGCTAAGGGCCACTTGCAGGCCCCTCCCTTGGCGGCCAGCCCAGGTGACCCAAGCCTCCCACACTCTCAGACTGGCTCCATGGCCCCCGCCCACAGGCCCCTCCTTCAGCGGCTGGCCAGGGCGGGCAGGAAGCTTGGCTTCCTCTGTCGCCCAGGGCCACCTAAGTGCACTTGCTCTGGCCTGCTCTGTGGCCATTGCCCACAGGCCCCACCTTCATCTGCCAGCCCAGGCGTGCGGGAAGCTTGGATTCCTCCATCGCCGGGGTGACCCAAGCCTCCCGCCTGCTCAGGCTGGCTCCGTGGCCGCCGCCATCTTTGTCCAGTTAATTTGCACATTCTGTCCTGATTGGCTGTGGTGCATTGCAGAGGTATGGTTTATTTACATATTTGTCTATTATTAGTGTAGATTTTATTGATTTCAGAGAAGAAAGGAGAGGGAGAGATAGAAACACCAATGATGAGAGAGAATCATTGATTGGATGCCTTCTGCACACCCCACACTGGGAATCCAGCCCACAACCTGGGTATGTGCCCTAACCAGGAATTTGACCTTGACATCCTGCTTTATAGGTCGATGCTCAACCACTGAACAACACTGGCCACTGGCCAGACCAGAGTCTTTTTTTAAAAATCCTCACCTGAGGATATTTTTCCATTGATTTTTAGAGAGAGTAGAAGGGAGGGAGGGGAGAGAGAGAGGAACATCAATGTGAGAAGGACACATCAATTGG